AACAATGCAAAATACAAGGAGGTCAGCCATGGCAGAAACTTTTGCTAACTTTCAATTTGATTGCTTTTGTTAAATGATTGCTATCAGAAACCTTTACTACAAGCCATCCAGAGATTTACCAGTAGAACCCAACCTACCTGCCCCGAACTAAAACAACCAAGCTAAACTTCCCAGTGTGGTTTCATAAAGCCATTAGGTCCAACCTGCTGCTCAGTGCTGGAACCCAAAGTAGAACATTCCTAATAGTTGACCATCCAGCTGCATCTTGACTGCCACACAACCTCCCAAGGTAATTGGCTTCTCTGCCCTATTGCCCTAACGGTCAGGAAGTATTTTTCTGATGGTCAGCTGGAATATCTCCCCTCAGTCTTCTTGTCTCAAGACTAAACATGCTGAATTCTTTCATGGGCTAAACACGTCCAATTGTGATCTACAGCAATCCCAAGACCCCACCTGCTTATAGTATCGTTGGGCTAAGTATCCCCCACCTTGTAACTATACAAATTGTTTCTTTTGCTTAGGTGTAGGACTTGGCATTTTCCCCATTAAATGTCATTCTTTGTTTTTAGCCTAGTGCTCCAGATCACTATCAAGATCACTTTGAATTTTATTTCTGTCTTCCAGGGTATTAGCTACCCCACCCAATTTTGCACCATCTGCAAATTTGATAAGGATTCCTTGTACCCACTCATGCAAATCATTAATAAAAATGTTAAAGAGCACTGGGCCTGGGACTAAACTCTGCAGTACCTCACTCATTACTGATCACATGCTGAATATGAGTTACAGTGTGATGTGGCAGCAAAAAAGGAAATCACTATTTGGGGCTGCATTAATAGAAGTATTATTTCCAAATCATGTGAAGTATTAGTTCTCCTTCACTCAGCATTGGTTAGGACTAATCTTGAGTATTGCATCCAGTTCTGAGCACCACAGTTTAAAGAAGATTCAGACAAACTGGAAAGGATTCAGAAGTGAGCAACAAAGGCAATCAGGAGAGGGGAAACAAAGCCCTATGAAGAAAGATTGAAAGAACTGGGCATGTTCAGCCTTGAGAATGGAATACTGAGAGGGACACTCTTCAAGTACTTAAAAGATTGCCAGTGAAAGGAGGACCAGGATCTCTTCTCAATCATCACAGAGCACAGGACACAGAATAATGGGCTCAAGTTACAGGAAGCCAGATTCCAGCTGAACATCAGAAAGAATGTCCTGACTGTTAGAGAAATACAGCAATGAAACAGCAATAGAACTACTGACCTAAAAAGGTTGTGGGCTCTCCCATGCTGGAGGATTCAAGATGCAGCTGGATAGCCATTTGTTAGGGATACTTTAACTTGAAGCATGGGTTTAGACCCAATGGCTTTATTGGTTCTTTCCAACTCTACTATACTATGATTGTATGTAAATTAAAAATAAAGATTTTTTATCCTGGGGGGCTTGTTATATAAAAGGTCTGAATATATAAAGTGGTCTTTACTTGGTGTCCATGTCCTTAGGTCACACAGGTGAATCAACTGAAACAGATCCTATATAATTAGATGAGAAATTGTTAAAGCTATGAAGGGTGGGGCAGGGAAAAGAGAACTTAAGAAAACACACACACATTTTCTTTTTTCTCCACAAGGACCATTTTCCACACGCTATTTTTTCTTTTTTCCAATGCAGCAATTGGAAAGTTGAAGTGCTTTGGATTATGAAATATTTTCTTTTAAAATTTAAGATAAGGTGTTACGCAGTCTCTCCAAATGTTCTAGAATAAGCCATTAATAAAAGACTACAGATATAAAATGTCTTGAAATAATGAAATCATCAGGAGGAAATGTTTGTTAATCCTCTCCGTAAGGCTCTCAGCATAGTTATTCTCCTTTTTCTTATTAAAATGATTGACCTAATGTTTCTTCTATGGATAGACATTTAGGGGTGCTCCAAGTCAAGCTCACTTCTGAACATGTAAATTAGAGTCACTATATCATAAATGGGAAAAAGTGCTTGTGTTGACCCTTCAGTTTTTTTCTACAGTGCCCTATATTTCTGGCCTTGTTCTAGTTAGATGCTGTAGCAACCAATTAATGTAGTTCTAATCTAAAGCCCACATGTGAGAAAACACTACAGGCTGTCACCAGTTAACTGTCATTTAACATGAGAGAACAGCATATGGCACATCCTACCTATGTATCTTTTTTTAAAAAAAGACACACTTGAGACCTGAATCCATAGAATGCACTAGCAGTTTTTAATGAAGTTTGTTATTAAATTGCACCACTAGGAAATGCTGTCTCTAGAATAAGGCTTCTCTACTAAAAATAACTCAGTAATCTCAGTAATCAGACATTATTTATGAAATTGAATAAAATGTCCTCCTTCCAATAACAGTTCTTCAATTCTATATGCACTTCACACATGGATTTGAGCTAGTCAGTAAAAACTACTTTAGAAGGAGGGTAGCAAGGAAGATCTTGGATGGCATGGCCATGAGGGGGCTACAGCCAGCCTCCCTCAGCAGGGAAGGAAAGACCAGCAAGGTGAATAGCAGCACCAGAGCTCTACTGCTCTCTGTGCTTCCAACTCTACTGCTCTCTGTGACTATAGCTCTACCTTTGAAAAGGCAGAGGTGTCTCCCTGCTGAGAGGAAATCTGACAAGGTGAAAATAAACTATGACCTGTGAACAGCTTTCTCTTTTCAGGCTTCAGTTCACAGAAGGACTACAGTGCTAGTATTAGGTTTACAAAAAGAGAAAGCTACAACCCTAACTTCTAAGGAAAAAAGTACCTCAGCAGGTACATATGGGAGAAGGTAGTTCTTCAGATTCCATAATAAGAGATCGTTTCATCCATTCATTCCTACATGTTTACTACATGCAATATCATGATTTCATCCAATTGTAAACTTCTAAATAACCATCACTTTGGATCTCATTTTGCATACCATATAGAGATATATATCCACAGTGGAGATGTCAAATGCAGATGGTTCCCTTGTTAACTTTTCTCTTTGCTGCATACATTTCTTCATTTTCTTTTTCCATCCAGCCTTCATGTTATAGATTCTAACAGTGTCATCCTATCTCATACCTGACAGCTATGAAGGACAGTAAGACTAACTTCTATGTAAGCTGCTGAACATAATATCCCAAGTCATCTGATAGGCCAGGGGTACTCTGAAATCAACTCCAAGGAAATATATCGGAGCAAATGGGTATCCCAGCGAAAAATTGTTTTCCGCATGGTGTTCATATAAACCAGAAGAGAAAACCTCTTTTTCTGTCAAGGGCTGCATTCCCTCAGGATAGTCTGTCAGAGGCCACGGTGGTGCTATGCAAGTCCAGAGTTAAAGATAAGTGGAGCCACCCTGTTTTCTCTGTCACCCTTTTATTTCTGGCAAAGGGACTGTGCTGCAGGATGAAACTGCAAGCAGCTGGTGCAAGCTGGAATACTAGCCAGCTTTTTGCTAAGAAGGAAAGGGTTTATCTCTGTGTCTCCCCCTGCTCTGTTTATATTTTTATCACAACCCTCCTGTAGCATACATGGTCATTCCTATTCTCCTCACAGCAACTCTCAGAAGTAGTTTAGTCTGAGAACTCTTCACTGGCTGAAGGTCATCAAGTGACAGCACAGGGATCTGAATCCAAGCCTAGGTCCAAAATCTCTCCACCCATTAGCCCATGCAGTTTCTTTTTCCAAACTGCAAAAGTGTAACCTTTTTGCAGTGGCTCCATGGGTGCAGGTCAGGTAAGGGCAGCAGTGCAGTCAGAAATACAATGCAAGCAATCCAGAGAGGCCAGGCATTGCCAGCTGCTCTGTGGACCACTTGTCTCCTAGGTGAATCAATAGCCTTTTGCTACATGCCTCCTAGGCTGGCTCTGCAAGTGGATCCCAAAGTAAGAACAATATCATTAAAAATGGGAGAACCACAGAGAAAACACTGGAATGCCATAGTTTCACAGCAATGTCCTGTGGAATAATGGAGTTAGCACACACCAGTTCTGGATGTTAACAGCTAATGGGCAAAAGGCTAATGTGGTATTACTTGATCTTGTGAGAACTCCTGTTAGCACCCAAAATTTATCTTCTCTAGTACTGATCTTCGGCTTCAGGCACTACCATTTTTATTCATTTATGTATTCATGTAGTTTACAATTTCACATAAAAGGGCCCTCAAAGCAACATCCACAGCCCCCCCCCCAAAAAAAACCCAGAACAAAATCAGCTAAATAACAAACGAGAGAGGCCCCTCAGCAGAACAGGAGCAAAACCTAGGACGAGCCAGCAGCCTCAAACGTATACTCTAACAGAACACAAAATGAAACCTGGCCAGATACAGAGCCCCGCCCTCCCAAGGGGAACATCTGGTTGTCTGTAATTTACCGCCCTGAATAACGCTAAGCTGTCGATGTAAAGGAGCCATGGTATGAAAACAACTTAAACAAGCGAGGTCGGAATTAGACGGGTCTTTTCTAGACTGGCTTGCGGGAGCGCAAGTTCATTGTCTCTGACCCACATAACACTGCAGTCTCTGAGAGATCAGTCCCCGCGCAGAAATGATCCTTCTGCAGGTCATTACGAAGGCGGGCGCGTTTGGTCGAGATGGCTCCCTGAACGGTCCAGCCGCTCGCTCCGCTTCGCCGCCCGCAGCAGCCAGCTGCAGAACGGCCGAGGCGGAAGGATGCTTCCTGCCTCGGCCCGGGGCGCGGACGGGAACGGCAACGGCTCGTGACAGTCTTCTCAGGCAGGGTTTGCCGCATCGCTCCCAAGCGCTGTCTTGCCCACCCTCGAGCTGAACGATGGCGGCAGAGCGGGGGGGGGGGGTGGCGGTGGCGAGGCAGCTAAAGCAGTTGCCTTTTCTTCCTTGCTCCGCATTACAGGAAGACCCCAGTGCAGGGGCGGCCAGCTGCCGCCAAGGCACTTCCCCGCAGAGCCCGAAGAGCCTGGGAGCGATCGGCCACCGCTCCAATCGCCCTGCTCGGGCTCGCCGCCCGCTGCCTGCAGTGCTCGCCTACCTGTGCCGGTGCTCATTTTACGTCTCTTCTACCTGCCGCCCCTGGCCCTGGCTCCGGCTCCGGCTCAGGCAGGCGAAGGAGGCATCCCGATCACCTGTTACGCGGCTGATAATTTCCTCAGCCGGAGGCTCGAGCTGAGCGCTGCGCTGGCCAGCTCTCCTACGCGGGTGGGGGCAGACGTCGACCTGCCCCGTACTTCTCCTCCGCCCACCGACTCGCTAAGCAGGCCAGGCGCGGCACTTCAGCGCCGCTGCAGTTCGAGCTGTCTGCTTGACGGGCGCCGACACAGGAGGCGGGGCGAGTTGAAAGGAGTGCTGGAGACGTCTGGGCCAAGCGCACAGCTCATCCCCCGCCCCCGCCGCCGCCGCTCCGGTTTTCTCCGCGGTGGATCGCAACCTCGCCCAGGATCGGCGGCGGGAGAGGCTGCACTGCAGCCTGCCAAGGCCCAGAGAGCGGTACGGCTGGTGCTGCCTGCCAGCAAGCAGCGCCCTTGTGGTCTGCAACCCTGCTAGGCTCGTCGCCAGCTGTGAAGAGCTGCAGTGCCGATCCTCTGCCACCTCTTGGTTTGGCTATGCTAAAGATGCGTGTTGGATGGGAAAGAGTATAATATAATTCCTGAGGCGTAACTTGGGGTGAGCAGCGCTAGATTCCGTATTCTCTGATAGACAAGGTGGATGCACTGGCACTGGGGCAGCGTGCTAGACCCCCGAGTGCTTCGTTTTGGCGCCAGAACCGCGATGCTACGGAGCCTCTTAGGGGTCAGTCTCCTATGCCACAGTTGTTTAGGGTGACCAACGCTTATTTGCTGGTGAAAATATGAGTTCCATACTCATAAATGTGGCCTGGAATAATCATTCGTTACTCCCTGTTTTGTAAAACTAGTGCTTTTGAACGTGCTGGTGTGGCTCAAAGGCAGCAAGCCTCCCGGTTATATACATGTATGACACGAATAGCTCAAGGGTTATTTTGCGGTGCACAGGCATTAACTTCTGTTTCTTGTTCAGAAAACCCATGCAACTCTGCTTTGAATATTCAGATAAGGAACGGGGTCTAAGCAAGCAACTTTGGCCATGATGAACTCAGAGGATTACTGAAGGCAGAAAAGTAGATCAAAGTTTAGTTTCTCATTTAATTTTACCTAAGTATCCACAGTGGAAAGAATATTTTTTATAAATTGTAATTTCATATCATAAAATCCCTTTTTTCCTTCAAGGTTTGCTGGAAGACTTATTGCAATTGATTTTAAGTACTCTGCATTTTTTTTCCTGAAGAACTGGTTCAAGAAACATTTAATCTTTGTTACACCATATCTGTCTTGGACTAAATGCACCATAAGAAGTAAGATGGTTATATATAGAAATATTGGCAGTGCTTCAAGCATTTTGTCCCAGTCCTTTAGCACTGCCACACGTAAGCATGTCTAGAAAACAAAAGCAAATGTCGATTTCCAATGCCATGTTTAACTCCCACTCCAATAGTACAGTGGTACCTTGGCTCACGAACTTACTCTGTTCCACGACTCTGGTTTTGATCCAAATTGGTTGTGACCCAAGTCAAATTTCCCATAAGATTCAATGTAAATAAGGTTAATCCATTCTGGCCCCTCCGAATGTGGTTGTGAGGCAGTTTTTGGTCGCGAGCCAAGTCAAATTTCCCCAAAAGGTTCAATGTAAATAAGGTTAATCCGTTCTGTAACTATTTTTTTAATCAGAAAAATTTAAAACAAAGTGATGACAACAAGTAACAAAGTATTGTACAGTACAGTGGAGAACACTAATCTAGGTGGGGGGGGAGATTATTGTTTTGAGGGAGAGTCGCACTCCAGAAGGACATTGGGGAGATCTCTCTCAGGGGTTTCCTCTCTTCTTTGTCTCTTAGCTGCAGGGTCAATTTTGGTGAAAAATCTGTCTATAGTCACTTTTTTCCTGCACTGCATAACCCTCCGGAAATAAGAGACCACATTATTGTTCATCAGATTCAACACTCTGTTTGTTACAGTTATGTTGGAGTGGTGCTTCTCAAAGAAACCCTGGCATGGGTGCGGTCCTGCAGGAAAGACGGGTGGAATCTTGGCCATCCCGCCCCCCAACCAGCACGATCACGGTCATCTCCCCACTCCCCCGAGTGGGAAGATCGCCAGGATTGCTGTTGCGTTTGTGCAGGGAAGACGTGCGTGATCACGCGCGCACTGCTGCAGGAAAGACGGGTGCAGCACAGCACAGCCATGATCATGCATGTGTTCCCTGCACGAACGCGACTGCGATCATGGCTATCTCCCCACTCAGGGGGTGGGGAGACGGCTGCGATCTTGGTCGCCACCCAAAGCGGAGTTCGTGACCCAAGTCAAAATTTTCATGAAATTTTTGTTGATGACCCAAGGTATCTCTAACTGTTTACTTTTTCCTTACATGTGAGGGCAGCTACCACTGACATGCCTCTTCAGCTGGGGTGTGTGGGCAAAGAGCATTGCACCTCCCACAATATAAGACAGGTCCTCCAACCGTTTTGGACCATCATCACATTTGGGAATTTGAGAAACTGGTGTGGAAATCACCACAGAATACCTAATCAGTAAATCCCTGCTTTGGCATCCATGTGTTGCATTTACGGATATTTGGCTGTGTCTAATTCAGCAAAAATATTTTGTCTATACGTACTGGACACAGTAATGTCTCTTTAATAAAATGTTTGTCTGATTCAGCTAATTGCTGGCAATGCCATACAGCTGCTGAGTTTTTTTTAAACATACGTTTTGGCAATATTGAGTAGTTGCTTCTTTCGGTGGGAAGTACTGGAAATTTTGTATGGAACATTCTGTAGTATTCACTGATGTACACTCATTTTATTTCCCTTCACTGAAATAACAGATAGTCAATGTTAATGGATCCTTCACCTCCATTTTACAGCTAAAGGACTAATTTTACAGCTAAAAGACTAGCACTGGAAGGATAACTTTCTCATACCTCCTATAATGAAGTGGACTGATGACCTGACAGTGCTTATTTGAATATCCAATGTGCTTTTTCTGAAACCTAGTATAGTAAAAAAAAAGTATACACATCATCTAAATCTATGTATGTATATTGAAAACATGAAAAAATAATTTTAAAAAATTTTCAGGTGCCTGCAGGTGCAATATAAGAGACACCATTGGTGCCTGCAGGCACCACATTGGGGACCTGCTATAAGCTTTCCCTCTATTTGCATGCACACTCTACCCATATAAATGCACTTTTGGCCAGTTACCAATTCAGTGTGTATAGTCAGTTACTGCTTTTCTGATACAGTCTTCCTGAACAACAGACCGAAACTGCATGCTCCACATGCAGTTAATCATGGTTTGAAGAGACAAGTGCAGAGGCAAGAGAGGGGTGAAATTCCAGTCAGGAAGCTGGTTGAGGTAAATTTAGGTTTAGCCCAATCAAAACAGAGTTTAAACATTTTATATAACATATTCCTAATATATTTGTTTTTACACTTTTATTCCGCTAACTATCCCAATAGGGATCTCTAGGTGACTTACAATATTAATCAAAACACAATTCTTAAAAACAATGAAAACATCATATAAAACATATCTATCATAGTGGCCATTTAAAATAATAAAAATAGCAAGTTGGAAGGACAACTATATGCATAATGAACATTAAATAAGTTAAAATCAGTTGTTAAAATGCCACATAAATGTTTTTGCCAGGAGCTGGAAAGAAGAATGTTGGTGCTAGGTGAATCTCTTTGGGGAGTCTATTCCATAAGTGGAACTTACTTAGTTATGCATAATATGTAACTATCCAAATTCCAACTGCCTTTCCAAACTAATAGTCAGAAATGTAAAAGTGTCCAGGTGGTAAGCAGTAAATAATTTAATTTAGTTTTTCATGCTTGTTTATGAGCTACCTACTGCTCTTATTTTTACTTGCATCTGACTGCTTTTATACTTTAAATTTTCCATCTTCTGTGGGTTGTAGCATTTTTAAAAAATGTGTTATACACTGATTTGAAAATTACTTTTAATAAATATTTCAGAAGCCTCTAAAAGACCTGCTTCATTGCTTTTGGATTGATGTGTAATTAATCAATAAAACAAACTGTGTGGTTGGGAATTTGCATTGTCTTTGGTTATTATTAGTATTTATTTATTTAGTTTATATTCTGCTATAACTAGTCCGAAGACTCTCTAAGCAAATTACAATATTTTACATAAAATAACATCAAAGTTTAAAATACAAAAGCAACATACAGGAAAACAGAATATGTAGCTGACAGCTCAGATATCAATAAGTTAAAATATATTAAGACCAAAAGCAGTATAAATAATATCATAATATACAATCAATTGTTGAAATGTCTGCAGAAGATTACAGTTTTCTCCTGGCTCCAAAAAGATTGTAAACATGGCAGCAGGTGAACTACTTTTGGAAGGCTATTCCATAAATAGGGTGCAACCACTGAGAAGGCCCCTCTTCTATTTGCCATCCTCTTTACCTCCTTAAACTAAGGCTCTCTCAGAAGTCCCTCCTTACCTGATCTTAGGGATCCAGTAGGTATATGTGGGTGCAGGCAGTCCTTCAGGGATCCTGGCCCAAAGCCATTTAAAGCTGTATATGTTAACACAAGCACCTTAAATTGGGCCCACAGATCAACTGGTAGCCAGTGCAACTGATATAATATCGGGGTGATATGGGCACACAACCTTGCTTGCGCCAGCAGTTGTGCTGCCCTATTCTGTACCAGTTGGAGTTTCCGGACCATCTTCAAGGGCAACCCCACATACAGTGCTTTACAATAGTCAAGCCAACAAGTTACCAGAGTGTGTGTGACTGTGACTAGGCTCTGCCTGTCCAGGTAGGGCTGCAGTTGGTAAATTAAACACAGCTGAAAGAAGGTGCTTCTGGCCACGGAATCTTCCTGAGACTCAAGTGTGTGTATGGCCAGTTCCCTCAGTTTTCCTGTACTCTAATGTGACCAAGAAATGGAGAACAAGGCACAACTATTGTCTACTTGAATCAGCTATGCATGTGTTTTATTAGATAACTCTGGCTGCATTTGCATAAAAAATGTGTTTGTTTGCTTTTTTAAATTGCTGTTGGTCTGTTGTATCATATGAACTCTGTTGTGGTAGTTCAGCATTGTACACTTGGTTTTTAGAAACCATGAACTGAAACAGTAGTCTGTTCTAATGGCTTCTCCATACCACAATAGCTT